AAAAGAGCTCTCAGAAGACCTACGATCAAGAATTGTTGACTTGCATGAAGCTGGAAAGGGTTACAAAAGTATCTCCAAAAGCCTTGATGTTCATGTGTCCACGGTAAGACAGACTGTCTACAAATGGAGAAAGTTTAGCACTGTTGCTACTCTCCCTAGGCGTGGTCGTCCTGTAAAAATGACTGCAAGAGCAGAGCGCAGAATGCTGCATGAGGTAAAGAAGAATCCCAGAGTATCAGCTAAAGACCTACAGAAATCTCTGGCACATGCTAACATTTTTGTTGACACATCTACATTAAGGAAAACATTAAACAAGAATGGAGTACATGGGAGGACACCACGGAGGAAGCCATTGCTGTCCAAAAAGAATATTGCAGCACGTTTGAAGTTTGCAAAAGAGCACCTGGATGTTCCACAGCACTACTGGCAAAATATACTGTGGACAGATGAAACCAAGATTGAGTTGTTTGGGAAGAACACACAACACTATGTGTGGAGAAAAAAAGGCACAGCACACACCAACATCAAATCCTCATCCCCACTGTAAAACATGGCGGAGGGAGCATCATGGTTTGGGGCTGCTTTGCTGCCTCAGGGCCTGGACGGATTGTTGTCATTGATGGGAAAATGAATTCCAGAGTTTATCAAGACATTTTGCAGGAAAACGTACGACCATCTGTCCGCCAACTGAAGCTCCGCAGAGGATGGGTGATGCAACAGGACAATGACCCAAAGCATACAAGTAATTCAACAAAACAATGGCTGCAACAGCACAGAATACGCCTTCTGGAGTGGCCCAGTCAGAGTCCTGACCTCAACCCGATTGAAATGCTGTGGCATGACCTTAAGAGAGCGATTCACACCAGACATCCCAAGAACATTGCTACACTGAAACAGTTTTGTGAAGAGAAGTGGTCCAAAATGACTCCAGATCGTTGTGCAGGTCTGATCTGCAACTACAGGAAACGTTTGGTTGAGGTTATTGCTGCCAAAGGAGGGTCAACCAGTTATTAAGTCCAAAGGTTCACATACTTTTTCCTCCCTGCACTGTGAATGTTTACATGTTATGTGCAATTAAACCATGGCAACATCTAATGTTTGTGTAGTATTATGTTCAGCAGACTGTGTTTCTTCTATTGTTGTGACTTAGATGACGTTCAGAGCACATTTTATGCCCAATTCATGCAAAACTCCACGTAATCCCAAGGGGTTCACATACTTTTTCTTGCAACTGTATTTGCTGTGCTCTGTAGTGCAGGTGTAGGTGCATTGCCTGCTACTGTAGGGCTTCTACTGCATAGTGCCCTTTGAAAAGCAGTCTGTGGTGGGTTACTTTTTAGAGGGTGGTATAACAGCAGCTGCCAGGCGTTCAGGAGGTGCTACTGCATGTTTTTTTCTTAAATTGCCGATTGGCAATTCTTGTATTGCGGGACCACACCAAGCCTTCAGCTCGCGGTTGCAGTGTGGTTACATTGAACTCAATGGGCAAGTTTGACAGGTAAGGCCACCTGTACCCTGAGTTAAAAATGCCGCAGAGCATCATGGCCACAAAATGTGTTCAGCCCTGTCCAGCTGTGTTGTTTTAATTTCTGTCTGTATCTCCATGGTGTGCTTCCCTGCACTTCCTGTCCTGGTGCCAGGTATCAGATATACCAGGGTAGCATTGCCATTCATTTTGATTGGTACCCAATGCATTATAGCAAAGTACCTGTATTGCAGCATGCTGCATCTCATGATTACACAGTAGTATGTGGTGGTGCATTACATTGACAAAAAAAAAAGGTCACATTCAGCACGTTCATTTCAATGGGTTGCCTTGTTGCAGCCAGGGGCGAACTGACAATTCATGGGGCCCCCGGGCAATAGGGGATCATGGAGCCCCTGTGACCTTACCCACACTCAAAAAAGCCTATAAAAAAAAAAAAAAAAGGTACCAGGGGCATTTCATGGGGCCCCCTACTGACCCCGGGCCCTTGGGCAGTTCCCGAGTGCTCTAATGGTCAGTCCGCCCCTGGTTGCAGCGCACATTACCGTATAACATAATGTGTGTTAACGCACCCAACAGATCTAAATGGACCCTTAAACAGAGATACACGACAGCTATAAAAACCTGAAAGATGTTCTAACCCTTTCCCATTCTACCCCAAGCTTGTACAATGCTTTGACTGGAATTGGCATTTTGTTAAAAATCCTTAAATATGAATTTCAGGATGCCTAACCACCACTGTCCTCCAGCTAGAACCCAGAAACATCAAATACAGGTGGAGACATATAACTCTTTAGGCATCCATGTGATCCTGGACTCCGGTAGCACCACAGGTGCATTTGGATCTCTTTTTGATAAAGGCATCGTTCAGGGCTGTATGAATGTGAATACATTATGTGCTTCTACTACTACTTGGAAATGACACCATGGTAAAGGTAAAGTTCACCAAATCTAGGTCTTAGTGAAAGTATCCTCCTGACGTTCTACATAAAGAAGCTTGTAGTCTTCATTTAGTGGACCTTTCATTTTTCACCAGAAACAAAGAAAACCAAAGAGAGCCATTTGGTGGAAGAGATGCAAAAAGGTTTTTCTTTGACAGTCAGGATTGAAGAACCCTTAGAATGGCTTACACTTTGTACACACCATGGTAGTCTTCTCCCTCGTATAAGCTTTGATTATGTGTGGTATAAACTTCACCCACTTTTACACACTATAGGTGCCCATACATGGGGTGGTCTTGTTAATCAATGAATCTGAATAGAAGTTTCAATTCTGAAGATTGGTAGAGGACTGGTTTGTGTAAGGGCTCCCTAGGGGGCTATAATGGGTGTTTTCAATCATAAAATCATTTGTTAACAGTTATGGAATAAGTTTCCTTGTCAGTGTTGGTTCACTCATTGGCCAAATCAAAGTAAGCAACAAAATGTGTCCAGGGCCCAAGTGGATCAGCAATGCAATTAAGGGTGGGTAGGTACCAAGATCCATCATTGCCATGAAGACATGTGGCCATAGACAGGGAATATCTGCTTGTTCTTGTTGCCAATGACTATAAATCGCAAAGCTGAGCTCTTCATCCCTAAGTCCTCACCACTGAAGGATGAAGGTTGAGGGCATATTGGCATAAGGATTTAACCAAAAAGTTGGAGATGCTCATTGTGAGCCCCTTCATAGGTCATAAGCCACCTTCTCACCTCAAGTCATCTTTGCACAGATTGTAAAACGGGGCTGTTTATTGACACATTAAGCTTCATTTTCATAAACAAGCACCAAGGAATAAAGGTATTAATCACTAAACATTCACTGGTGGCAAATTAATCCTTCATTTAAAGGTCAACTCCAGGAAAACTAAAAGTGCTCCCATACAGTCTTGCTACTGTTAACTGCTTGTTTCTGTCTAGGGAATAGGAAAAATGGGATCTTTTATTACTCACCATAAAATCCCTATTTCTGAGTAAATCAACGGACAAAACTCTTCAACTCTTGATTGTAAGGTATTGGCGCTTCCTAAGTTTTGGGGTTAGGGATGCACATTGTCAACTGTGGCTCTTCCCTTCAGCCTGGCCTCCACCCATCGGATTGTTGCCAAGGTTCTGGCTTCGGTACTGGAGTTGCTGAGACACCGGGGTACCGGTGGAATGCCTACATGGATGATCCTTCCCAGGATCGTCCATGTAGCCATTCAGGTGATCCACTAGTGTTTCAGCAACTCCAGTACCGAAGCCAGAACCTTGGAAACAAGCCGATGGACGAAGGGAAGAGCCACAATGAACAACACGCATCACTAACCGCAAACTGTAAGAAGCGCTGCTACCTTATGGACAAGAACAGAAGAACTGTGGCCCTCAATGGACATAAGAGAAAGCACTTTTACTTGCCCAATCCTCCGGTCTCTGGCAGACGGCGCACCCCTAGCTATGAACCCAGAATTGGCCTTCATAATGTCTCTTAGAGCAATGGAGCGTTGGGGAGAAGAGGCTGCAGGGGACTGGTTTAGGTACAGGAATGGAGGATCAGAAATGAAAAGTGCTTTACTCATCCCCTAAAGAGAAACAAGCAGTTAACCCTTGCAGCACAGGTGCAAACCCACAGCAAGGGAGGACTTTTAGCTTTCCTGGAGTTCAACTTTAAAGCACATGCACCCAGAAGATTCACCTGCAGTGAGTGCTTGGTGAATGTCAAATTCACAATTTTATACGATGTCTGAAGGAGAAAATGTATTGCTCCTAGCAAGCAATCATTGATCTTCAAGTCTACCCTAGACCCATAAAAGAATCTGGTAGGTAAAGGCAAGAAAACATCTTTTCATATGCTTGACCATAAGGTCCAGTGAGATTCTTGCCCATACTGATCAATTGCCCAGTGTGGGGCAGCTTATACAATGAAACCTTACATTTGATTGGTTGCTATGAACTCTAATGCTATATCTCCTTCCGTTTAGTTCTTATAATAGAGCTTCACTACCTCTGTCTCGCTTTCCACATACATCATCGCCATGTTTCACTATGCATGTAATGCAGCGACACGCTCTCTGTTACTAATATACAGTTTAATGCACGCAATCATATGCTAGCCCTCTCTTTTTAAATAAATACTATATTTCTCCATACACAGTGTCTGAGTACAAACAGTCTGTTGGCTTGCAAAGCCAGCTTGCTTTCTTCCACTCCCCTTCTACGTTCCATTGGTTTCTTCCTCTTCTTACACTTTGCACATGCTGGAACATTCCACTTGCAGTACACGGGGGAGTGCCTTAGTCCACTTGCACCCTCTGATCCTTGATTATGTAGAAGTGGGTTAAGGGCAAGTCCAAGAAGGGAGAAGGTTATTGGGGGAAGTTATATGGAGGAACCACCCATGATCACCTTGGCTGACATTCACACAACCGGTCCTCCAGTTCTTCGGGACTGAGACGAGAAGCAGGCCTCTAGCCTATTGCTCATCTCGAAGTTCGGCAGCTTCCTGCTTACATTTATAGTCCATGCACAGAACAGACGTCCGTGTTCCGAATCCATGGCTACTCCAGATATATATCTTCTGTGGGACATGTGTATTCCACAAACTCTTTGTAAAACTGTTGGAAGGCTCTCCTGAAAAAGAAAAGCCTACTATTAGTAAATGGCAGGCAGAGGTACCGGTGTGTGAAAAGGTCTGAGGAGAGGATTTTCATTGTTACAAGAATGAGACAACCACAATAGTATCCTGGTGTTGGCCCTTGGGAGAAGAAAGTAAGCCAACTGATATAGGCTTCATTCATATAGCCGCAAGAGGGTGTACCCAGGGGCAGACTGACAACTCATGGGGCCCCCGGGCAATAGGGGATCATGGGGCCCCTGTGTCCTTGCCCAAACTCAAAAAAGCCTATGAAAAAGGTACCAGGGGCATCTCATGGGGCCCCCTACTGACCCTGGGCCCTTGGGCAGTGCCTGAGTTTCCAAATGGTCAGTCCGCCCCTGGGTGTACCCCAAGGTTCTGTTCTTGGGCCCCTCCTTTTCTCTCTCTATACCTGACAAGGCTGTTGTCTGCTGTGCCTCCTGTGGTCAGTCATCCAGATTCGTGTCTCACTAATAGCGGAGGTGTGTTACTGGACAGATCACCAGGTGAAACCAGAGGGAAAAAAGTCACAGAAAAGAAAACAGATGCAGCCACCATATTTAGTGATTGGAAAGCTGCAACATATTACATTTTTGGTTTTGGGTTTAATACCTCTTGAACCACTTCAATACAGGGCACTTTCACACTTCCTGCCCACGCCAATTTTCAGCTTTCAGTGCTGTCTTTTTTTGAATGACAATTGCGCGGTCATGCAACACTGTACCAAATTAAATTTTTGATCATTTTTTGAGACAGATAGAGCTTTCTTTTGGTGGTATTTTATTACCACTTGTCCTTTTAGTTTTTGCTAAACAAATGAAAAAAGACCAAAAATTGCGAAAAAAAATGTTTTTCTGTTATAAAATTTTGCAAATAAGTAATCTTTCTTCTTCACTGATGGGCATTGATAAGCTGGACTGATGGGCACTAATGAGGAGGCACTGATAGGCTGCACTGATAATCAGGGCATTGATGATCGGTGTCCTGATTTTCAGTGTAAACGATGCACTGACAGCAGGGGCGGACTGACCATTTGGAAACTTGGGCACTACCCGAGGGCCCAGGGTCAGTAGGGGGCCCCATGAGATGCCCCTGGTATCTTTTTCATAGGCTTTTTTGAGTTTGGGCAAGGACACAGGGGGTCCCATGATCCCCTATTGCCCGGGGGCCCCATGAGTTGTCAGTCTGCCCCTGACTGACAGCCTTTCCGACTATTGGCTCTCCTTCCCTCATACAGACACAGCTTGCGAGGCAAGGACTGCCAATAACCAGCAAGTCTGTTTACGTGTGATCAGCTATGATTGGACACACCGGTCACAAAACACGCCTGATGTGTGCTCCAGGAGGCGGGATTTGGGGTTCTGGGAGGACATCCATGGACATCCTCCCAGAACTGAATAACCTGCTGTAGCCATCCTACGGCTATATCGCAGGCATCAAGCAGTTAGACTGTAACTTTATAAATTATAAAATTGGGAGCAGACCAGGGGCGGACTGACCATTTGGAAACTTGGGCACTGCCTGAGGGCCCAGGGTCAGTAGGGGGCCCCAAGAGATGCCCCTGGTACCTTTTTCATAGGCTTTTTTGAGTTTAGGCAAGGACACAGGGGTCCCATGATCCCCTATTGCCCAGGGGCCCCATGAGTTGTCAGTCCGCCCATAGAGCAGACATGCCCTTTATTGCAGAAGAGTCATGATATCTCTCTGCTGTAATTAAAAAAAAAAATATACCTTCAGTCTTCCCACCTCAGAGGCTGTATGGACTTACCTGCACATCCAATTTTGACAGGCGTGCAGGGATGGGGGTGCGGCCCCAAACATAGAGTGCCTGCGTTCAAGGCTGCATACCCACCCCTGTGCCATGTCATACTCAGATGTGCAGCTGATTTTGTACAGCCACCGTATCTCCATTGACTAACATAGGCTGCCTGCATGTAGCTCCCTGTTGCTAGACACACAAATAAATGGTGCTAACACACTGTATGGGCCTTTGTACCTGTGTAAATCAGCCCTAATCCTGGACTCTTCACGTGTTTTGATTTGTGATTAGTTTTGGAAATGCCCCTTTTTCCGAATTGAAATTGGTGCTTACTGGCCTTCTTTCTAGTACTCTATGCCAGTACATAGTAGTTACATAGTTAGTCTGGCTGAAAAAAAAGACAAAAGTCCATCCAGTTCAACCATTACAAAAAAAAAAAAAAAAATAACCTATAGCCACAGTAGAGCTGAGTAACAGCTACAGCCCTCATTGAAAGAGTCCTGACATGATGAGACTTGCATTGTAATGCTGGATAAATTGAATCAGGGTGTACAATCAGTATTGAACAGAGTATAACAAGCTATGGAACCACTTACAATAACTGGGGTGCTAGCAGTAATTCTCATACTTGACCACTAGGTGATGGTAAAGTATAACAGATTCCTAGAGAATCCTACATTTTGTAGGATTTTTTTTCCTTTCCTTTTACCTGGTGATCTGGTCAGTAAGTCTGTTGTTTTTTAACAGAAAAAGCTGTCCTGCAGATGTAGCAGTTAGAGACAAACCATTTAGCACTGACAGGGATGCTTACAATGATCAGCTTTTATTTATTCAAACAAATCTTTTTCCCAAAAGGAAAACAAACTGCTGTAACTGCAGTGTGATCTTGAGTTTACCTTCAATTTTTAGTGTATCTAAATCTGCTAGTCCATATAACACTCCCCTCCCCCCTGACTGACAATGCTGCTGTCAAAGGTGCCCCCTGTGCTCCTTCATCCAGAGTGTAGGCACCTCCTGTATTAGGGTGCCTACACTCTGGATGAAGGTGCCCCCTGTGCTCCTTCATCCAGAGTGTAGGCACCCTAATACAGGAGGTGTGCTACTGGCCAGATCACCAGGTGAAAAAAGCTTAACCACTTCCAGACCGGACACTTTCACCCCCTTCCTGTCCAGGGCAATTTTCAGCTTTCAGCGCTATCACACTTTGAATGACAATTGCGCAGTCATGCAACACTGTACCCAAATTAATTTTTTACCATTTTTTTGAGACAGATAAAGCTTTATTTTGGTGGTATTTATTCACCGCTGGGATTTTTATTTTTTTTGCTATGTAAATGAAAAAGTCCACAAATTTTGAACAAAACTTTTTTTTAATAAAATTAATAAATTTAATAAAAAATTTTGCAAATAAATAATATTTCATCATATTTTTGCCAAAATTTATTCTGTTATCTTTTTAGTAAAAAAAAAAAAAAAAAAAAAAAATTAGTTTATAACCAAAAATTATAATTTTTAAACATTTTTTTGACATTTTTATTTTATTTTTTTATATTATTATTTTTTATTTATTTATTTTTTTTACATACTGTCACCCTAGCAGTACAGTGTCACCATCGTGACACTGCACTACTTGTGGGGGGTGATGAAGATTTTTTTCTTTTTTTTTTTTACACCGATTGCTTTTACACCCATATAGGATGTAAAAGCAATCATTTCTCTCTCTGTGTGCATTCTTGCACTCATTGAGAAGTACTGAGTGAGCTGTGATTGGTCACAGCTTGTCACATGGTACAAGGCTGTTGTGAATAGCCTTGTACCATGTGACCTCTGTGATCATTCACAGATTTCACACGTAGTAAGCAATGATGTCACAAGTGACATCTTGCTTACTACTTTGCATGTGATCACTGATTGGCCAATCAGTGATCACATGATCGGGACCTCGTACAGACGATCGGTGTTTCACTGTGTCCGGGGGACACAGCGGGCACCAGATCGCGGTGCTGCGTGCTCCCAGGGAGCGTGCACAAGCAGGGTGCGGGGAGGCCGTTCATAAACGGCCACCCGACCCTGCACTGCCACCGTCCGGCCGTTTATATGCAACGGCCGGTCGGGAAGTGGTTAAAAAAAGAATGCAGCCATCGCATCTAATGATTGGAAGGCTGCAATATTACAATTTTTGTTTTGAATTTAATGCAGCGTAACGAAAATGTACTCAATTATAATTCAGTTCACTAGGGGGCGCTCCAGTCTTACTATTTACAGCTCAGTGGCCAGGCTGTTGCATGTTTGATGCACAAGTACTCTTACTCAGACACTGCCCGGAGACTTACCCGACAGATTCTGCCAGGGGTTTGGTAGATTCCTCGGAGACAAATACATGACATGCAAACCGATGGTCTGAAGGATGCTTAGTGATGAAGCCAAAATATCTGCGGAGACAAAGGATCAAGTGGTAAAAGGTATTGTGGAATGACAGGGACAAGACACTCAAGCATCCCACTCCACTCAATACTCACTTGCTGTTCTTAGGGTGGTAGCCACAGAAAGAAATATTCTTTAGCTGGAAGAAATGGCTGCATGTGTTCACCTGTTAGGGAAACAAAGGACAGCTGCTTACAATGTGTAATAAAGAAATACATCATCCTTCTAATTCTCATTGGTGACATTTTCCTTGGTGATTTGTGTGGTTTACTTAACTGGACTTGCTTTGAGTCAGAGATCCTATTCTCAGCAAGAGGTACCTAAAGTGGTTGTAATCTCTTACATGTAACATTGAAGCAAATCCTCCTACATAAGTTGTATCTGTTCATCGGCATCCCTTTCTCCTCTACAGCCTGCTAAAGTACACATTTTGCACAGCATTCCTTAGCGCCAGAAGGTAGGGGGTGGAGATCTGACATCACACACTGCACAGCACTGAGCAGGAACCTGAGTGTAATCTGGGACCTGAGTGGCCACACTCTCTTCACACAGTCTCATAGGGAAACTTGAAAGACTGAGGCTGCCAATCACCTGCTGTGTGCTGGAGGGGAGGGGGGGCAGGACCATCTCCCAGGATTGTTTGATGTCTGCATAGACCAGGGGTGTCAAACTCCATTTCATCGCAGGCCGTATCAGCATTAGGTTGCCGTCAAAGGGCCAGTTGTATCTGGAAGTCTAGATGTCCAGAGCACCCCACCCCCACTACATCACATGTGTGAAGAATCCAACACCCTCCCTAACGTCACTGTGTACTCCCTTTGGGGGCAGAGCTGGAAAGCAGAAAGTGCAGGGTCTGGAGGAGGACCAGAGGGCCTTACGGACCTACATTGTTCCTTTATGTGATATGATGTACCGAGGGTTTGAGCTGGATTCTGTCTGACAAGCTCATGCTCATGTTGGTTTGTAAGTATATTACTTATCACTAAATGTTATTAGTAAAAGATATCGAAGGATAATGCACTAGGCTGGTGCACCCTCCGCTCCGTATATTTTATGGTGACTCATGCAGATAGCAGATAAATGAAAGAGGAGACAGAAATCACACTAAGGCAAGGAAACCCAATAGAAGAATATGCTTTGTTCATTTTTCATTTCAGAGGTTTATAAAAATGTAAAAATCGGGAGCAGGCAGGTTCTTGCCTGCAGAAGAGTCCTGCGATGTCTCTTCTGTAACAAAACACACCTTCCTGTTTGCAATCTGTAGAATATACAATCTCAGTACACCTCAGTTTGCACACTTCACAAATCAAGATGGCGGAAGGTCCTGAATCCAGGTGAGGTTGGGGAGATGGCCAATCACAATCCACCGGGAGAAGTAATGTGTGTGGTGTTGAAACGCGTAGGGGCAGTAGCTTGGATGATGTCACGATGCTCTTTAGGATTAGAGAGTATAGAAATCATAGCGGTGAGGGTGGTATTGCACAGGACCGCCATTTCTCATATTCATGCTGTAAATATCTGGTGCACCTTTCACAAGGGAGCGCATTTTTTCTGTTTTTTGAAGCAATTAAACATTTTAAAGGATAAAACACTATGTGGACATTGATTCGGGATATACAAAAGGAGATGCACATGGTCCAACAAAGGGACAAAAGGCGCCGTATGACCGAACAGTTGATGTTGAGGTCCTATATTGAAGGTGAGTGGACATCTGGTGGTAGTGCAGTCATTCAATATTGCTGGATCAAGCAAAGTGTGGCACTTATTTTAAAGGCACACAAGACCTTGTTTTCTGATTGTGGAGGACTTTATTTGGATGAACATTCGTCATATAATTTATTTGTCACATAGCACTGCTATTACTTCATGATTTAGTAGAGGGTGTTATTTCACTAAACAGCGCTGCACAATATTGTTCAAGATCAACAATACAATCATCAGTCCCTCCCCTCATGCCAGGGTACTAGGTGTAATCCTAGACTCCCATCTGTCCTTTCAGCCCCAAATCCAATCACTGTCCAAATCTTATAGACTTCACCTCCGCAACATCTCCAAGATACGCCCGTTCCTAACCTCGGAAACTACTGAGCAACTTATTCACTCCCTGGTTATCTCTCGCCTTGACTATTGTAACTCCCTCCTCATTGGCTGACCTCATCGCAGGCTATCCCCTCTTCAGTCTATCATGAATGCTGCTGCCAGACTCATCCACCGTACTAACCATTCTGTATCTGCCACCCCTCTCTGCCAATCCCTCCACTGGCCTCCACTCAGTGTCCTCCATCCCTCTCTGCCAATCCCTCCACTGGCCTCCACTCAGTGTCCTCCATCCCTCTCTGCCAATCCCTCCACTGGCCTCCACTTAGTGTCCTCCATCCCTCTCTGCCAATCCCTCCACTGGCCTCCACTTAGTGTCCTCCATCCCTCTCTGCCAATCCCTCCACTGGCCTCCACTCAGTGTCCTCCATCCCTCTCTGCCAATCCCTCCACTGGCCTGCACTCAGTGACCTCCATCCCTCTCTGCCAATCCCTCCACTGGCTTCCCATTGCCCAAAGAATAAAATTCAAAACATTAACAATAACATATAAAGCCATTTATAACTCCTCCCCAAATTACATCACCGATCTTGTCTCCAAATATCACCCAAACCATACTCTCCGCTCCTTGCAAGACCTCCTGCTCTCTAGCTCCTTTGTCTGCTCCTCCCATGCTCGTCTCCAGGACTTCTCCAGAGCTTCCCCCATCCTCTGGAACTTTCTACCCCAATCTATCCGACTATCGCCTACTCTGCCCACTTTTAGGCGATCTCTGAAAACCTTTCTCTTCAGGAAAGCCTATCCCACCTTCAGCTAATAATGGAATCTTCTATTCCTCCTACCAGTCCATCCCCCACAGTTACTACCTTTTGTATCACTAGCCCCTCCCTCTTAGATTGTACGCTCCAAGGGGCAGGGCCCTCCTAACCCTCTTGTATTGAACTGTATTGTTGCTGTATTGTCTCCCTTTTTATTGTAAAGCGCTGAGCAAAGGGTTGGCGCTATATAAATCCTGTATAATAATAGTAAGTCAAGGCTGGGGAGATGTCAGTGCTGGCGAGAGAGCATTCAGAGGTGAGTTCAGTTCCGCTTGAAAGTCCAAATTAACTCTCACACTTTTGTATCTCATTCATTTGGGCGCAGAGTCCCGTAGAGCATGCAAGTTGTTGGACTACAGTGTCTATGTATTTTGTGCAACAACTATGAGGTGGTATCAAAAAGCTTTGTAACACGCCAACAGATGGCAGCACAAGGTTGCATGCACAGTCACAGGGAGCACCAATCTTCATAAGTCAAAAGGCATCATCCTGAGTATTTCGGGAGCTGTGCAACTGGTTCTATTCTGACCATATGCATTACCAGGTCTGCTCTTTCTTCATGGACAGCAAGTTAGAACAAAGAGCAAATGTGAAGTTCTGCATGAAACCCGTGCACCCAAGTTTCGTCACTGGTATGATCCTAGACATGACGGATGGATCATCCATGTCATGATGACAGAGTTCTTGGCAGACTTCAACGTGGTGTTCATTCTGCTCCTGGGTCAGCAGCCTGGGGAAGAACTTGGCAGCAACACTGCGCATGTTCAAATCACACGTGAGGATTGCCTGCACTGTTCCGTATGACACCCCGACAATGGGGGCAATGTTGTGGATTGTTCTCCAACGATCATCAAGTTGCCAATGGTTTTGACATTTCCGGGGGTTAAGCTCGTTGAAGGTCTTCCTGATCTCTCGTCGTCTTCCACTGATATTTTTCCACTCTTGAAGCTTGTGTGCCACTCAAAACACCTCGAACGATGCCTAGTCAAACGTCTCTGTGGCAGATTTCACTTTCTCTTTGTTCTAACTTGCTGTCCATGATGAAATAACAGACGTGGTAATGCATATGCTAGTTTCATATCGAAAATGAAGAAGTTACGAAAATTCTCGTACGACAGAATACAACTTCAGAAGTAATGTATTGAATTTTATTCTTTTGTTTCCGAGCATGCGTGCTCTTGATCACTCCATTTTTTATGGACAAATACTGTACTGATTAAAGGAAAATCATTTGTTCTGTTATCGTACGAGAAACATTTTCGTGCTTGTCCCTTCGGATATTGTTGCATGAACTGTCATGATTGGTTCTAACGAACAGATCCAATTATCTGATCGTGTGTACTAGGCATAAGGCTCTCATTGGGAGACTGAGCATCTCTGGGGGGGTGGAGCCTGCAAGGCTTCTCATTTGACAGGGGCAAGGCTTGCCTTCTGCTGGTGCATGTGTAAGGCTGCAGACTGTGAGTGAGAGCAACAGGGGTCTGTGGCAAGTTACATAGTTAATCTGGCTGAAAAAAGACAAAAGTCCATCCAGTTCAACCAAAGAAGATATACTCCTACACCCACAGTTCATCCAGAGGAAGGCATAAAAACCCAGTAAAGCATGATCCAATTTACTCTTGCAGGGAAAAAAATTCCTTCCCGCTCCTGAGTGAATGTGACAGTGAAGTAGTACTACTATTGTGCAGACAGGGATGCTGGGGGGTGGTTATGCTGAGACTTGTAGTTCCATATCAGCTGGAGAGTCTCCTATTGCTGTTCTTTCAGGTGAACCACAAGTCCCAGCATGCTGACCTCTATCCCAGGCAAACAGAGTATGCTGTGACTTGTAGTTCTTGACCGCTCAGGAATAGGTCCAATGTGGAACTGAAAGTCCCAGCATATTCATTTACTACAGAAACCGGTACAAGGGGGTACCCCTGGATATCAGAGACTGCTGGAAGTTGTAGTTCTAGCCCACACAGTAACCACAATGTCCCTTTCACCTCTCTAGAAGTGATCACCAGTGACTGCTGGGGAACTACTAATCGCATCATAGCTTGTGACTTTCAGGACCCCCAGGGACTTTTAGTTCTACACGCATATCATAGGGTTCCTGGTGATGCTCATATTAGTAATACGGGCTGGCATGCTGATTATTGCAGTCCCTCCATCAGTGGCAGCTTCACCTAATGCTGAGATTGATGGTGGCGGTCAGAGATGGCAGAAGCTGGCATGCTGGTACCTATAGTCCCCCCAGGCTGAGGGTGGTGGAGGAGAGCAGCTCTACAGCCAGCACAACGCATGTTAGTGGAGAGCAGACCAACCAACACCGATTGGCACCGGATCCAGAAGTGGAAAAGAGGGGGATGGGGGGCACTGTGAGGGGGTGCAGAGTGAGGGGAAAAGCAGATAGGATCAGGGGGTCTGCTGGTAATTCTGGGAGTCAGAAAATGTAAAAGCGTCAGGAAATTTATAGGAAGGTCAGGGGACTTGTAGGGGGTTAGAGAAGGTGTAGGGAGATGTTATAGGGGGCAGAAAAATTGTGGGGGTGTAATGTTACATAGAGGGTATAAAGCACTGCATAAATTGTAGTCTCTCTCTCTCTCTCTCTATATATATATATAGATACCTGAAACATATAAATTAATATGTTAATGATATGCTTCATGTAACCATATTAAATGAATGCCCCACTCCTAATTAAAATAGATGCTCCACCTACATTGTCTTTCTGGACGCACAGAAAAAAAAACGTGTCCCCCAAAAACGTTTTTGAAATGTCAAGTATGCAATGTGAAATAAAATCCCAGAATACCACGGGCCCATCTTCCTGATATGGTTACAGTACCTGGCTATGATCGTGAGGATCCTCCCCGTGCACTGCAATCTTTAACCCCCGCAGACTGATCTCCAGGATGCAGCTTGAGGGCGGGTTTGACAGCACTGTAAGGCGACGGGACATAGCAATCTGGAAAAAAAGTAAAACACAGAATCATTCAAAAAATAGCACCACTCTGAACATTGGGGAGGTCCAGGACCATTGTCCTTTACAAGTAACTTTGGTCATTTCTGAATGCAGTACCCACCTTTTGCATGGCGGTGCAGAGAACGTCAGTCCCTTTGTGATATGGAACCTGCACCGAACCGAGGAACTTCACCCAAAACTGATCCACCCAATCAGAGGCTCGAGTTTCTGTACAGAACAGGAAAAGTGTTAAAGCTGAACGTTGGGATCTCAACCAATACCCTCCATGGCAAGGTGACCCTTGTGTTGTAGGAATCTGACTTTAGAATTGTAAAGTAATGGCTTAGAGCCTCTTTATTCTCTGGAAGTAACCAATCCCCATCATGTAATACATCCATATCATGGAGGAAGGATAAAATGGTGGTGGTAGATCAAAGGTTGGGAATTAAAGCACTCATCATAAACCAAGAGGATCCCATGATGGGCTGAATGATGGGCATGCTTTCGTTTGGTAACATGAACAGTGACATTGGAGTAGATTTCTCCATTTTCATCTCTCAGTGTTTTCATCATTTAGATGAGGTAGTTTTGTGAGGATTATGGCATTTAGATTGTGCGCCCCTTAAGGGTTAGGGACTGATGTGAATTTACAATATACAGTCAGGTCCATAAATATTGGGACATCGACACAATTCTAACATTTTTGGCTCTTTACATCACCACAATGGATTTAAAATGAAACTAACAAGATGTGCTTTAATTTCAGACTGTCAGCTTTAATTTGAGGGTATTTACATCCAAATCAGGTGAACGGTGTAGGAATTACAACAGTTTGCATATGTACCTCCCACTTGTTAAGGGACCAAAACTAATGGGACAGAATAATAATCATAAATCAAACTTTCACTTTTTAATACTTGGTTGTAAATCCTTTGCAGTCAATTACAGCCTGAAGTCTGGAACGCATAGACATCACCAGACGCTGGGTTTCATCCCTGGTGATGCTCTGCCAGGCCTCTACTGCAACTGTCTTCAGTTCCTGCTTGTTCTTGGGGCATTTTCCCTCCAGTTTTGTCTTCAGCAAGTGAAATGCATGCTCAATCGGATTCAGGTCAGGTGATTGACTTGGCCATTGCAGAACATTCCACTTCTTTCCCTTAAACTCTTTGGTTGCTTTTGCAGTCTGCTTTGGGTCATTGTCCATCTGCACTGTGAAGTGGCGTCCAATGAGTTGTGAAGCATTTGGCTGAATATGAGCAGATAATATTGCCCGAAACACTTCAGAATTCATCCTGCTGCTTTTGTCAGCAGTAACATCATCAATAAATACAAGAGAACCAGTTCCATTGGCAGCCATACATGCCCACGCCATGACACTACCACCACCATGCTTCACTGATGAGGTGGTATGCTTAGGATCATGAGCAGTTCCTTTCCTTCTCCATACTCTTCTCTTCCCATCACTCTGGTACAAGTTGATCTTGGTCCCATCTGTCCATAGGATGTTGTTCCAGAACTGTGAAGGCTTTTTTAGATGTCGTTTGGCAAACTCTAATCTGGCCTTCCTGTTGTTGAGGCTCACCAATGGTTTACATCTTGTGGTGAACCCTCTGTATTCACTCTGGTGAAGTCTTCTCTTGATTGTTGACTTGGACACACATACACCTACCTCCTGGAGAGTGTTCTTGATCTGGCCAATTGTTGTGAAGGGTGTTTTCTTCACCAGGTAAAGAATTTTCCGGTCATCCACCACAGTTGTTTTCCGTGGTCTTCCGGGTCTTTTGGTATTGCTGAGCTCACAGGTGCGTTCCTTCTTTTTAAGAATGTTCCAAACAGTTGTTTTGGCCACGCCTAATGTTTTTGCTATCTCTCTGATGGGTTTGTTTTGTTTTTTCAGCCTAATGATGGCTTGCTTCACTGATAGTGACAGCTCTTTGGATCTCATCTTGAGAGTTGACAGCAACAGATTCCAAACGCAAATAGCACACTTGAAATGAACTCTGGACCTTTTATCTGCTCATTGTAATTGGGATAATGAGGGAATAACACACACCTGGCCATGGAACAGCTGAGAAGCCAATTGTACCATTACTTTTGGTCCCTTAACAAGTGGGAGGCACATATGCAAACTGTTGTAATTCCTACACCGTTCACCTGATTTGGATGTAAATACCCTCATATTAAAGCTAACAGTCTGCAGTTAAAGCACATCTTGTTTGTTTTATTTCAAATCCATTGTGGTGGTGTATAGAGCCAAAAATTTTAGAATTGTGTCGATGTCCCAATATTTATGGACCTGACTGTATATGTAAAGCGCTGAGTAAATTGACAGCACTATATAAGTACCTGAAATGAATAAATACATTTTATAAAATAAAACTGCTAATCCCATGGAGAGGATGTCGATGGGCAGGTAATTTGGTGATATTCATAACTACGAAAAACTTTCCAGTAATAAACTTATTGTGCAGGGCTTTCCAATGCCAGTCGCACAGGGGGTGGGCGGCTGACCACTCTGTAGGCCCCTGGTGCCCAATCTGAGGCCCTATGGTATATGATTTGCTCAGGGGCGGACTGACCATTTGGAAACTCGGGCACTGCCTGAGGGCCCGGGGTCAGTAGAGGGCCCCATGAGATGCCCCTGGTACCTTTTTCATAAGCTTTTTTGAGTTTGGGCAAGGACACAGGGGCCCCATGATCCCCTATTGCCCGGAGGCCCCATGAGTTGTCAGTCCATCCCTGGATGTGCGGCTCTCAGCAGTCTGTAGGGGGAACATTGATTAAGGTAATTGCACTGATCTCTACTAGCCTCATGTAGCATGTTCCCAGTTTCATATTGTCTTCTGTAGTATATCTCCAGCCAAAAATGCAGCATTTCCACAATCTCTGACCCTCATTTTCTCTACAAGTCCTCATGCACACGGGACGTTTTGATAACGCTGGTAATGTTAGCTGTGTAAAGTCACGTTAAAAACTTGAGTTTTTCTGCTTTTTTTAGCGTTTTTGCATTAGCGTTTAGCTGCGTTTTCCCGCCTTTACAGTTTTTAGAATTTTTTTTACCCCCCCTAATTTTTTTTGGGGGGGGGGGGTCAAAAAAGTCCAAAACACCTGTGTTTTACCGCGTTTTTCAGCGTTAGAGCGTTTTTTTCCAGCTAAAAAAACTCCTCTAGAAATCCACTAGTCCTGGGGTTTTTTTTCCAGCCAAAAAACATTGATTACAGTGTATGTGTGCATGGACACATAGGATAACATGCTGGGGGGGTTTACTGGCTGTAGAATAAAACTTTAAAAGCCAAAAACAACCAATGTAAAATTGTCAAGTGCGCGGCTGGGCAAAACACCGTTTTAAAACGTGTGTTTTCAAAACAGGTAGGGGGCTCGCACGAGGCGCGCCACCGCCCTACCTGTCCCACCGATCATGGCCGCGGATGTCAGTTGCCGGGTCACAGCCGGTCGTTACCAGCTATGTCCCGGCGATTAGCGGCAATCACTGACAGAGATCACAGCTGCAGTAGCTGTGCTTTCTGTCAGTTCCCTGACAGCTCCTGACACGCTGATCGGAACAGAAGAGTTTATCTGTCTGGATCAGTGTGTCTCCCACCCCCCGCCCCCTAGTTAAACACTCCCCTCACACAGTTAACCCTTTCAGTGAATAATAAAGTTAACCCCTTCCTCCGCAGTGCCATTAGTACAGTGTCAGTGTTTTTTTTTTTTGCACTGATCACTGTATTGGTGTCACTGGGGATGTCAGTGACCCCAAATCACTTCCCCCCCAGTGTCAGAATGTCCGCCGTGGTCCCGCAGTCCCGCTATAAGTCGCTGATCGGTGCCATAAGTCGCTGATCGCCGCCATTATTAGTATAAAAAAAATGAAAAATCTCAGTATCTTTCCCGCCATTTGTAAACGCTATAAGTTTAACGTAAACCAATTAATTTACACGTATTGGGTTTTTTTTTTTAGCAAAGACATGTCGCAGAATACATTTGGCAGAAATTTATGACTAAATTTGATTTTTACATTTTTTTTTACTGGACGTTTTATAGCACAAAGTCCAAAATATTGTAAAAAAACAATTGTCAAAATTGTCAGCCTTTTCTTTTTATAGCGCAAAAAATAAAAAACGCACAGGCGATCAAATACCACCGAAAGAAAGCACAATTTGTGGGAAAAAAAGGAGGTAAATTTCATTTATGTACCGTATTACATGACCGCGCAATTGTCCGTTACACTAGCGCAGCGCTGTATAGCAAAAAAATGGCGTAAATTGCAGTATCTATACCATAGTTTGTAGACGCTATAACTGTCACACAAAGCAATCAATATACACTTATTAAGATTTCTTTTACCAAAAACATGTAGCAGAATACATTTTGGCCTAAATTTATAACTAACTTTGAATTTACTATATATTTTTTATAGCTGAAAGTAAAAAATATTGTTTTTCTTCAAAATTTTTGGTCTTTTTTTGTTTATAGCGTGAAAAATAAAAAGCGCACAGGTGATCAAATACCACTGAAAGAAAGCTCTATGTGTGAAAAAAAGGACGTAAATTTCCTTTGGGTGCAGCATTGCATGACCGCGCAATTATCAGTTGAATTAGTGCAGCGCCGAGTAGCAAAAAGAGGCCTGGTCATTAAGGGGGGTAAATCCTCAGGAGGGCAAGTGGTTAAAAGCAGGCCAGCAATGGCATACCCCATATTCTTTCCCTGTGCGTTCCTTTTAATCTTCTAGTTAAACAAGCAGACACATTCTCCTGCGTTACTGTTGTCACCTAACCAGCGAGGAGGCCCTCTCACCTGCTAAGTGATCTGGTTCCTTCATCACCTGGACTGCATAGTAAGCAGGAAAGATCCCTTTCTCCCCAGTTCTCATGTTATACGCCTCATACCAGTAATCCTCAGCTTGGACCTCCACATAAAGCGGATCCTCTGCCTCCAGCTCTAGCTCCCCTGGGTGGCGGGGCATGAACCTGCAACCAAGAGTAAAAAATCAGATCTTGATGACTCTGTGTACAGAAAATGCCTCAGCATGTGATTGACATTCAGCTACAGCAATAGGTGGCAGGCTAAAAAATGAAAAGGAAGACTCAGACTATCTGTATGGTGTCACTGGTGTATCTATAGATAAAAAAAACCTTTTCATTTTCTATTTTTCTATTATAATTTTTCTATTATAATTTAGGGAAAAAGCCATTGTGCCAACTTGAAATCCAAATCAACAATTTACTGACATCCCAAATCAGTACACAACACATAACATGGGACTGATATGGGACTTCAGTAAATTGTTGATTTGGATTTGAAGCTGGCATGATGGCTTTTTCTACACTTGAATTTACATGGTGCCACCAATTAGCCGTGCACTCATCCCTATATATGGTCAACATGAAGTTGTGTGGCAGGGTTTGATGTGCTGTAGGTTTTTATTGTTTTATTGCTGTATGAGTCCCTCCAAGGTAAATTCATAAAAAGTAATGGGAATTCCAATGCTTTACAGTTGTCATCAGAAGAGGTGGTGAGGGGAAACCTTTCATGGAGACACTTAGTACAGTGATAACTAAAAGGGGGATTCCCCTCAGTTTGGAGAGATTTCTTGCTACTTGTCAACAGGACACAGACAGCAAAAAAAAAAAAAAATGACAGAGGTTTAACTCTTCCTTATTCTTGCTATAAGCAGGGGCGGACTGACCATTTGGAAACTCGGGCACTGTCCGAGGGCCCGGGGTCAGTAGGGGGCCCCATGAGATGTCCCTGGTACCTTTTTCATAGGCTTTTTTGAGTTTGGGCAAGGACACAGGGGCCCCGTGATCCCCTATTGCCCGGGGGCCCCATGAGTTGTCAGTCCGCCCCTGGCTATAAGTCTACTTTAACCAATTCTCCCCAGATGGCCATCGTATGACATCCTGAGGTTTAAGTCTTGATACCAGGATGATGCCTGTACCTGTTAGCATCATCCTGGTATCAACATTTTCAGCTGGCAATGCTCTTTCATGTAGTAGTGATTCAAGTGGCTATACAGCCACCTGATCACTTCTACAGGCAGCAGATGGGGTTGCCCTTCCCTCCCACTGCTGCCTTTCTCTGGCCCATTGGGGACCAGCGCCATCGGCTGCAATACACAGAGAGAGAAGGACTGATGTTGTTCCTCTGTGAGATCAGAACCTTACAGCGACAAGGATTTTGTCACTCCCGGTTTTAGTTATTTGTATACAAGCCATTACAGGCTTGTTCAAGCATCTGATCAAACCGACCTTGGTTTGTTCAGATGCTTTGGAGGCCAGGAGGAGACATCTGGGGTCTACCAGACCCCAAATCTCTCCATAAAGAGGACCTGTCAAGGCCAATTTTATTACAAGGGATGTTGTGTATCTCTTGTGCTAGCAATAACATTGATAAAAAAAAAAAGAATTTAAGGACAGTGTAAAAAAAGTTTTAAATCATATAATTAATTAAAAAAAAAGTTTAAAGTGCCCCCGTCCTCCCATGCTCACAAGTAAATATGAACGCATACGTAAGTCCTACGTTCATATGTAAACAGTGATTACGTCACACATGTGCGGTATAACTGTGAATGTCAGAGCGAGGGCAATAATTCTAACTCCAGATCTCCTGTATAACTATAAACTGTTAACCTGTAAAGGCCTTTAATGCGTCACTCATGGAGATCTTTAAATACTATATTTTGACCCCATTCCACGGGTGTACGCAATTTCAAAGCATGGCATGTTAGTTATCTATTTACTCTGTAAAATATATTTTATATTTTACAAAAAAATGGTTGTGTTTGTGTGCACTAAAGGTCATTAAAGTGTATTTTTTCCCCAAAAAATTCCATTTGAAAAACTGTTTTGCAAAGACTGTTTGACATAAAAAATTGCAACACCCACCATTTTATTCTTGAGATGCCTCTGCTTAAAAAATACATATTTGGTGGCAGGGGCGGACTGACCATTGGGGAACACGGGCACTGCCCAAGGGCCCAGGGTCAGTAGGGGGCCCCATGAGATGTCCCTGGTACCTTTCATAGGCTTTTTTGGGTGTGGTTTGAGTGTGGGTGAGGACACAGGGGCCCCATGATGCCCTATTGCCCGGGGGCCCCATGAGTTATCAGCCTGCCCCTGTTTGGGAGTCAAGTGGTTAGAAAGCATACTTTTGGCCATTATATAGGATAGGTAGGTAAGACAGCAGGTATTAGAGAGCTGCTGAGAGTTTGCTGTGAGCAACATGAAAGGGAGCTGAGAACCACATGTGACATAGGCTAGCCATACATTATACAATTTTCTTTAGATTTACCAAAAACCATATAATATGAGGTCAAACCTAAATAACACTTTCAATTGTATCTAATTAGGCCGGCTCTTGCACTATATAGCTGAAGGTAAATCTAAAGCAAATTGAGCAGAAATTGGACAGAAAATTGTATAATGTATGGCCAGCCTTACGAGCCACCATATCTCAATATGCAGAGATTTTATTCATTTACATGTATACTGTATACCCGTGGTCTTCAAACTGCGGCCCGGGGGGCCAGATGTGGCCCTTTGCTTATCTTTATCCGACCCTTGGGGCACTCTTCTTCCCTCTGATAAAAGGCACTATTCTCCACACTGACACCAACAGCGGGACATTTTTCCTCCCACTGACAACAATGATGGGGCATTATTCCTCCCACTGACACCAATGATGGGGCACTATTCCTCCCACTGATACCAATGATGGGGCACTATTCCTCCCACTGACGCCAACACTGGGGCACTATTCCTCCCACTGACACCAATGATGGGGCACTATTCCTCCCACTGACACCAATGATGGGGCACTATTCCTCCCACTGACACCAATGATGCACAATTCCTCCCACTGGCACCAATGATGGGGCACTATTCCTCCCACTGACACCAATGATGGGACACTATTCCTCCCACTGACACCAATGATGGGGCACTATTCCTCCCACTGACACCAATGATGGGGCATTATTCCTCCACTGACACCAACACTGGGGCACTGTTCCTCCCCCTAATACCATAGATGGGGCATTGTTTACTTCCACTGACACCAAGACATTTTCTACTTTCACTGGCCACAATCCGGCGCCCTTAAAGTCTAAAGGTCACAAAACCGGCCCTTTGGTTAGAAAGTTTAGAGACCTCTGCTGTATAGTGTTAGCAAATTCTAAAGCACAAAGAACAGAACCATGGAATTAGTTGCTACTCAAAAGGTGTTTACCAATTTATGTGCAATCTGGCTGAACTATCGATATATTTTTGGGTAGTGAAGTGAAACTGCCACAGTGTGTGCAGACAGGGTCCCTCATGTGAACTGCGTCAAAAGACAAGATCCTGAACAAGACAAGGGACTTCTAAAGCACATTTAGTCCCAAGAACTGTCTCACTCACCTGAAGACGGCTCGATGCGTCTGCTCTCTTTCCTCCCCATTTATCAGACACGAAAACAAGCCGAAGGAATCTGCAACTGGAAGAGATAAGAAACTGAGGGCCACTAGGAAATATATCACCTTCTGCCCTAAGAGCACCGAAAACAACACCAAACAACAAGATCATAACTATTGCTATAGTGGTCTCTACACCGGCACAAATACTGTGGGCTCGGGGGCATATAAGTGGTCCATTCTGCTAGCCTTTGGACTCTGAAGGGGGCATCAAGGTTCTTGTATTTTAATGTCTCCCAAAACCTATATAAAAGAAACATCATACAGACTCCCAATACCATATGACCAGTGGGACCATTTTGGATGTGCACTTTGATAATATCATCAGTCAATATATCCATGTAACAATGACTGCTGTACCATTCCCAAGCAAGCAAGAAAGATCAATTCAGCATCCGATAGACTACCATTCTTCAAAAATGGCCCAATTCAAGATGCCCATTGTTTGCCAATATTATATCACCCAGGGGCGGACTGACCATTCGGGCACTGGGTCAGTACGGGGCCCCATGAGATGCCCCTGGTACTTTTCATAGGTTTTTTTGGGTGTGGTTTGAGTGTGGGAGAGGACTCAGGAGCCCCATGATCCCCTATTGCCCAAGGGCCCCATGAGTTGTCAGTCTGCCCCTGGGCAGATCAACCAGCAGAGATTCGATCCATCCATGGCCGGCTTTAGGACTACATAAGACCCCCCTATCTTCTCAATAACAGGGGGAGGTGTTGTTTAGTTTAGAGATAGCAGGGTACAATGCTGATAACAGTCCAAAGGCAGAATGCTTGGGAATGCCATTCCCAAGCAAGCAAGAAAGATCAATTTAGCATCCGATAGACTACCATTCTTCAAAAATGGCCCAATTCAAGATGCCCATTGTTTGCCAATAATATATCACCAAGGGGCTGACTGACCATTCGGGCACTGGGCACTGCCTGAGGACCCAGGGTCAGTAGGGGGGCCCCATGAGAGGCCCCTGGTACCCTTCATAGTTTTTTTGGGTGTGGTTTGAGTGTGGGCGAGGACTCAGGAGCACCATGATCCCTATTGCCCGGGGGCCCCATGAGTTGTCAGTCCGCCCCTGGGCAGATCAACCGGCAGAGATTCGATTCATCTATGGCCGGCTTTGGGACTACATAAGACCCCCCTATCTTCTCAATAACAGGGGGAGGTGTTTAGTTTAGAGATAGCAGGGTACAATGCTGATAACAGTCCAAAGGCAGAAAGCACAGCTCTTAAGATTTCTGGCTGGATGAAGAGTTATTTATTTATTTGCACTTGTCAGATATAATAAAACCTTTTCAATGGTTTATTTAACAGACCAAGGGAGACATTAAGAGAAATGTATTCTTAGAATTTACATAAACTTTAAAACGGAACTTCATTCTCAATCAGCATTGATTATATTTGTATTCCTTATCCTGCTAGCATTAGTAAATACATAGGAAAGTATATCATATTTACTTGTTTTACATTTTTTTCCACATTTCTTCAGTTATTTCCTGGTTTCCATGCCTAGGCAAATGATGTCATATATCCCAGGCATCTTCAGAAGGGGAGGAGGGGTTTCTCTACAAAGCACACCCACCTGCCTCTGCGTCTGAGCTAAGGGCAGATGGATTCCAGGAAGTAAATGTTACATGATTCATCTGCCCTTACTCAAGATGGCCACAGGCAGAAATGCTAGGGGGATATTTTTCAAAGCGTTTTCTCAGCAAAAAAATGAAGTCCACCCCTGGGGACATGGAGACATGGCTAGGTGGGGGAGTTTGAGGCTCCACGCATACTGGCATTTTTTTTAAAGTTCAAAAAACGTTGGATAAAAAAACACTGATAATAGCGTTTAGGAGTGTTTTATTTTATTGTATTAGCATTTTATTAGCGTTTTTTTCAATAAAAAGTTACAAAAAGCAATTGGGGGCGTTTTAATAGCGATTAGCAGCATTTAGAAGCGTTTAGTGTTTCTTTCTCCTGGAAAAGGGCTACAAAAAAACTACAAATTTTTTTTTTCTGCTCCTAGATGCTGAAGCTCAAAAAAACCCCTAAGAGCCTAAATAATAAAACTATTTAACTTCTATGGGCAGAAAAAAATGCTAACAGCTTCTAGGAGCTTAAAAAAATGATAATGTGCATGGAGCCTGTATATTAAAAATGAATTAAATTGTATTTTTGGTTTGTGGTGCTCAGGTACAGTGTAGGTCCTGTTAAAGCATGGCCAGCTCCATGTTGACAGCAGCAGAGGATTGTGGGAAAGGTTACATAGGTGGCAACCATGATGGGCCAGAAGATGTATCTTTCTTGTATGTATTGTGTTTGCAGGTTTTTTGTGTGCCAGGAATAAATGCATACCTCCCAATATTTTGCAATAGGAACGAGGGACACCCAGGGGCGGACTGACCATTCGAGCACTCGGGCACCGCCTGAGGGCCCGGGGTCAGTAGGGGCCCCATGAAATGCCCCTGGTACCTTTTTTATAGGCTTTTTTTGGGTGTGCTTTGAGTAAGGGCAAGGGCACAGCGGCCCCATGATCCCCTATTGCCCAGGGGCCCCATGAGTTGTCAGTCCACCCCTGGGGACACCTATTAGCAAAAGTATGTAGGCATAAGACACACCCCCTGCCACGCCCCCTTAAAGAAGAATTATGCAAAAAAAATGATTAAAGTGTTACTAAACCCACAATAGTAAAATCAGTCTGTATATTCAGCCAGCAATGCTGGTTATACTCACGGTGGAACCTAAAGACCTAAGGGGTTAGTCCTCTGCATTGTGTAAAAAGGCTGTTTGATCCTGTCTTCTCTGATCTCCTCCTTCTTCCATTGTCCCCCACTCATCTCATGATAAGACAGAGTTTTTGGAGTCACTCTGCACATGCTCAGTTTTGTGTGTGTTCCTTTTTTTTTTCTTTGGGAGGGTGCATGTGATCAGCACAGGGCCAATTAGCAGTGGCCAGACCGAGGGTCAGGGGTTATGCAGCCTCATACTGTAGGTCAGTCATAGGAGTATGAAAACTCCAAGCTTTAACCAGTGATCAGCTGGACACTGATAGAAGTCACAAGACTGCTCCAACTGCTGATGAGAAAAGGTATTTAGCAGTTTATATTTACTAAAATAATTGCATTTCCATGTTGTGTGTACTGTGGGAGACCAGATATAGTGAATGCAGGGTCCAGGGAGACCAGATATAGTGAATGCAGGGTCCGGGGGAGACCAGATATAGTGAATGCAGGGTCCTGGGAGACCAGATATAGTGAATGCAGGGTCCGGGGAGACCAGATATAGTGAATGCAGGGTCCTGGGAGACCAGATATAGTGAATGCAGGGTCCGGGGAGACCAGATATAGTGAATGCAGGATCCGGGGAGACCGGATATAGTGAATGCAGGGTCCAGGGAGACCGGATATAGTGAATGCAGGGTCCGGGAGACCGGATATAGTGAATGCAGGGTCCGGGGAGACCAGATATAGTGAATGCGGGGTCCGGGGAGACCAGATATAGTGAATGCAGGGTCCAGGGAGACCAGATATAGTGAATGCAGGGTCCGGGGAGACCAGATATAGTGAATGCAGGGTCCGGGGAGACCAGATATAGTGAATGCAGGGTCCAGGGAGACCAGATATAGTGAATGCAGGGTCCAGGGGAGACCAGATATAGTGAATGCAGGGTCCGGGGAGACCAGATATAGTGAATGCAGGGTCCTGGGAGACCAGATATAGTGAATGCAGGGTCCGGGGAGACCAGATATAGTGAATGCAGGGCCCAGGGAGACCAGATATAGTGAATGCAGGGTCCGGGGAGACCAGATATAGTGAATGCAGGGTCCTGGGAGACCAGATATAGTGAATGCAGGGTCCGGGGAGACCAGATATAGTGAATACAGGGTCCAGGGAGACCAGATATAGTGAATGCAGGATCCGGGGAGACCGGATATAGTGAATGAGCAGGGTCCTGGGAGACCAGATATAGTGAATGCAGGGTCCGGGGAGACCAGATATAGTGAATGCAGGGTCCAGGGAGACCAGATATAGTGAATGCAGGGTCCGGGGAGACCAGATATAGTGAATGCAGGGTCCGGGGAGACCAGATATAGTGAATGCAGGGTCCAGGGAGACCAGATATAGTGAATGCAGGATCCTGGGAGACCAGATATAGTGAATGCAGGGTCCTGGGAGACCAGATATAGTGAATGCAGGGCCCGGGGAGACCAGATATAGTGAATGCAGGGTCTGGGGTTTAGTAACACTTTAAACCTACAAGTGCTTTTTTTTTTACCACTACTATTCCTTTAGATTGACTTTTGAAATTTAGCAATGAAGAAATTTAGAAACTGCATGAATGGTTTAGCACTGTGAAACATTTTTTGAAAGATAAAAAGTGCATTTTTATATACAACTATATAGATCAGACCAAAGTGAGGGACAAATGAGGAGGAAAGAGGGACAGAGGGACTTTGTTCCGAAATCAAGACAGTTGGGAGCTAGGATATCTGTTATGTACAGCCATCATGCATTGGAATGAATAGGCATTCAAGGAGGTCTTGGCACATCTTGAGCTATCATTTGTAAAAGCGGGTGAGGTCCAGTTGCATTCAGCTCCTCCTGTATAAAAATTGTTAGTCATTGGCTTATTTCTAAAGAAGTTCTAAAGAATTTTTGGTTTGTACACATTTGAAATCATATGGGAAAGCCATCTGCTGCATCAAAGTGCCACTATACAGCGTGGTCCCACTTTAATCTCAGAGCTCTCACACTAGGATATTCTGTATACAGCAATGAATTTATGAATCAACCATTACCTAGAGGTTACCCCATTTTCCCTTGAATGTATAGTAACATGCAAGAACCAGACATGCAACCAGGGGCGGACTGACCATTCGAGCACTCGGGCAGTGTCCGAGGGCCCGGGGTCAGTAGGGGGCCCCATGAGATGCCCCTGGTACCTTTCATTGGCTTTTTCATAGGCTTGTTTGGGTGTGGGTGAGAACACAGGGGCCCCATGATCCCCTATTGCCCAGGGACCCCATGAGTTGTCAGTCCACCCCTGCATGCAACCACAGACCATACAAGTGTATATGCCCAATACAGCAAAAAGGCAGCATGGTAAGTGTTCAGTCAATTCATGACCAACTAAGGTGGTGGACAACAATAGGGACTAATAACTGTTCAAAAAATACTATATCCTCAAAACCACCAAGCTCTGTTAGGCAGCAAAAGAAATCTTGGCCCCACCAGATGAACATGCTTACCTTTCCTTCACCTGCCATTCCCTTTGGCTGCTGGGAATGAGATGAAGAAGCCATGTGTAAGCTCCAAGATTTGGTTTGGGCTGAGAATTTTCTTCCTGATCCATTGTGGTAGTACTGGGGGCCTGATTGACTAGTCGCCAAGCAGCACTTGAAGCCACATGTCCATCTACATGTAAGTAGAGATGAGCTTGGGCATCCTTCAAACTCATCTCTAACCAGAATGTCAAACTCCTGTTTTTGTTGTACTTCAGTGCACTGCAGATTGTGTCATTCCCCTTGAGCATTCTCCAAACTCATCTCTAACCCGAATTCCAAACTCCCACCTTTTTTGGATTCCAATGAGCTATGGGCCATGCCAGTCCCCACCCCGTAGTTCAAAGGAGCTGCAGGGTGGGGAAAAACCTGGCCCATAGCTCACTGGAGACCAAAAAAAGGGGTGTTCAGAATTTAGGTTAGAGCTGAGTTTGGAGAACACCCAAGCTTACGTCTACTAGTAAGTAATGGGTAATTCTGCTCAATTCCTGCAGTTGAATTAAGCTGTGGCACGGAGAAAGGAAGGTAAGTACTGCACATGTAGCTCCCAGAAATGGCCATTAAAGCGAACGCTTTGGCTGCTACATTCGTATTCTGCACATCACAGCAGTCAAGGGGTTAAAGTGATTGTAAACCCTTACATATACCCAGTGAAGTGACTTGCCTTTAGGCGATACACAGAGATTAAACAAATCCTCCTGAATAAGTTGTACCTGTTGATCAGTTCCAGTAATTGCTCGCCTGCAGCACCCATCACCCTCCCCGTGCACCAAACTTTTTCCTCCTGCTGCCCAGGCCTCCATGTATGCCCACCCCTGCCGGTTTCTCTCCTCTCCTTTACAGGTGACTGCAAGCAAACAATAGGGTCCTTCAGAGTGGAGAGTGGGGGTAGGGACCAGTTAATTTGTCACATTTACTAGCTCCTTTCTTTCCTGAATGAACACAATGAGTGATCGGTACTAATCACTCACTATATTAATTCATAATTGAAGCATAGTAGACTTTGTTTCTTTTTTTTGGGGGGGGGGGTGTCAGGTTGGCTGTATGGGGCCCCATGGTTTCTAACAGAAGCCCTGACTGCCAGCACCTAGAGCCGCTAGCAGCAGTCATTGTGTTCAGCCAGCCGGGAAGGCTTCCTACCCACAGAACATAATAGCGCTGGAGGAGGGATCGATTAATTTTCTTTCCTTCCACCACGGATAGAAAGAACAGTAATTGCTTGATTCTCCCATCAACACAGTCAAGTGATTTTCTTTCCTTCCACCCGTAGCGGAAGGAAAGAAAATGGAATCGTCTACGCCTTGCCTAACACAGTATTATGTAGTCATAACATTCCCTGTTCTAAGATGACAATACTGATCAGTACAGTTGTCACCCTAGAACAGGAAGTGAGTTAATGTCAGGATTACCAGGTTGAAATAAAGAGAAAAAAAATTCTGAAAAAAAAAAAATGAATGCAGCCACCACATCTAAGGACTGGTAACCTGGAAAGCTATCAATGTTGGGGTTTGGATACGTTTAAATGTGAGTCACTCATAAATCAGTGGCTAGCCAAAGAAAGCTCCTTTTTGTGTGCATGAATCCTCATTCAAAAAAGAAAAAGAAAAATGAAACAAAAAATTATGTTTGCTCAAAAACAAAACAAAAATGACACAGTTTGTAACGCAAAGATACACAGATAAAACATTATGGGCCGTATTCTGTATGGGTAACTCACTCGTACATCGCGACCGTCCATTCATGAAGACGTTGAGGAATTTTTTAGAGTAGGAGACATCGGCATCTGGTGAAGAGGTGTCCGAGAGACACATGGACCTTCGGACTCTGTTCCCCTCCCTCCCGGTTGCCCCCACGTGCTCCTCCTCCTCTTCTTCATATTCCTCGCCGATGGCGGACTCATAGGGCGAGGAAACACAATTATCGTAGACGGTACCGCTGTCGCTGTCGTCGCTGTACCCCGCATAACACTGCCGCAGGCTGACCAGTTGTAGCTGTACATTATCATCAACCACCAACGTGTATTTGACGGAGTCATAAGATAGTCCACTGGTGTCTGAGCTGACAGATGACCTCTGTAGTCCCCGAGGGCCACCAGCTCTTCCAGGGCAACCCAGATACCCCACCCCATCCTCTCCTTCCTCCTCTTCCTCACTGATAGACAGCTGCTGCCTGCCTGAATTGGGGGGTCGGACATTAACGTCTGCATCTGAGCTGACGGACATTCGGCAGGGTCCAGCCTGTGATATGAAGGGTCTTTCTGGTTCTGGAGGATCTGAACATCTCTGGACAGGAGTTAGGAAAATTTCCTCCGTGGGCTCCAGTCGCACATCAGTCTGGTAGCGGATGCGGTCCCGGTGAGGGTCCAAGCGGGGGATCGGGCGGAGGAGCGCCCAGAGGGGTCATTGGCACCCTGGGAGGCATTGTGGCGTCGGCAGGGGGTGTCTGTAGAAGTCCCACGATCCTGCGTGACAGCCGGTGGGTTCCCTTCATCACTTAGACATACGTGTTCATTGGAGGGTGTTGTCTCCCCTACAGATTACAGAAAAGGACAATATGGAATTATGTTGCAATGTGCCAGTCCCTTTAGGCTCCGTTCACACTTTGGACACAAAAAGTTGCAAGTTGCAGCCTATTGTTTTCAATGGCACCCGTTTGGATGTATGCGACTTAAAATCACAGCGACTTTGAAAAGTATCCTGCACTACTTTGATGCGACTTGAGTGCTAAAGAGTGTAAAGTGGCATTAAAAGTCACACTCCAAAGTCGCACAATTTCCAGTCGCACAAGTGTGAACGAAACCTTAAAAAGAATATGTCATCTTTTAAATGATTGTTTTTTCCTACCGTAGCTATGCATGTGAAAAGAGTCTGCTAGAACTAAATATTCTTTTAAAAGAGAGTCAATCCATAGAATGGCTATTCTGTACTGTTCCTTCCCACAATGCAAGGCTATTCCAGGTCCATTTATTAAGCAGCGGATGTGACCTATGCATTTTCTGGTGGAGGATCAATCACTGTCAATTAAAACACAGGTACCTGGAAGATTCTCCACTACAGAATATTTGGGGAAAGTTACATTCACTGCTTTAATAATAGACCCCTTTGAGTCAGCTGACTCAATGCAAACAATGCACTCTATTTATGGCTAATATTTTATTTTTTTGAAAATCTTTTTTATATTTTCATTATCTTAGCAGTTGTTAAAGCGCAACTTCACCCAAAAGGGGAAATTCCAATCCCCCTTCCCCCCCTCCTCTGGCATATTTGAAAATATTGTTTTGGGGGGGAGTGGGTACCTAGTTTTGAAAGGTACTTGTATCCCAGAAGAGGAGGGGGGCAAAGTGGAAGCATCACAGGTTGGGTCCATTCACAAAGCGCAGTGTGGCTGGTGCATGCAGAGTAGGGAGCCGGTTGTGAAGCCGCAAGGAGTCCTTACTGGTTTCCCACAGGGGACCCCCGAAGACTGTCGGAGGACTGGCCCAGAAGAGTACAGCACTGGATCCCTGGACACAGTGCCAGGAAAAGGTCATCTAGAGCCCAGGGTGAACATGCCAAACTGCACCCCCCCCCCCCAAGATGTATGAGCATTATGTGCCAGCAAAAATCCCCCCCCCTCCAAAAAAAAAAACATCTAGCAGTAATCTGAATGCTTACCCCCTAAGCATAAATGTCCCCTCCTCCCCATACATATCTACCCCCTTGCTGAAACCCTCCCTCCCAGCACAATTCTTTGCCCTCAATCCCCCTCCCAGCTCAAATTCTCCTTCTCCCCAAACCCCCCCCCAAAAAAAATCACCCCCTCCTAGCATAAATCCTCTACCCTTCAAATTTCCCCTCCAATCACAAATGCTCCTCCCCACATTCATACTACCTCCTTGCAGCACAAATTCCCCCCCCCCAATCCTACCTCTTAGCACAAATCCTCCTCTCCCCCAAATTTCCCCTCCTAGCACAAATACCCCCAATCAACCCTACTAGCACGAATCCCCCTGAAACAAAATTTCCCTTCTAGTACAAATCCCCTCCCCCCTCTACCATGTCACCTCTTCTACCACAAACCCCCCAAAATCTCCCTCTTTAGCACAAATCCTCTTCTCCCATCCCCCCCTTCTAATACAAATTCCCCCAAATCACCATTCCTAGCACCTCCTTCCCCCAAAATTTCCCCTCCTAGAGCAATTCTTACCCCCCGACGCCCCAAACTTCCTCCTCCTAACACAAATACCCCCTCCCCAATCTGCTTATCCTCCCCACCTCACATGATACCACAGCGGCCAGGGCAGCCGCCCCTCCTGCCCACCCCCCTTGTCCCTGCCCTGCCTGGACAGGTCTCTGTTTATTAAAATTCAGCTGCTACAGTTTTTGTAGCTGCTGACTTTTAATTTTTGGAAACACGGCTGAAGCTCCTCTTTAAAAGGGGGGAGCAAAATGACTGTAAATTGGGTATGTGGCTAATCTACACATTTCCATTTCATGATACAGGATTTATATAGTGCCAGCAGATATCTAATACAATGACAAGAATATGGAAGAGCAAGCATCTAAAACCATATAAAGGCACGTAATAAATTCCAGGTATGAATATTTTTACATAGTTACATTGGTTCAAGTTGAAACAATGTAACTACGTATATCATACTCTTGGGATCCCTCTAGAAGCTGGAATCACTGTAGTAGACACCTCAGTGATCTCCACTTGCATACGGGTCCATGCCGAGTGGCTTCCCAGCTGCATTGTGAGTACAGGAGGTCGGCCACTGGGTGCGGACAACATTCAGAGAATGCTTTGTATTTCCTCAATGAATGCAGTGGCATCGCTATGGGGGTGCGGGCTGTACCCGGGTGACACCAGGCCCGCATGTCCTAACAAGCAGGGTGTACTGACAGGCAGGGGCGGACTGACAACTCATGGGCCCCCCGGGCAATAGGGGATCATGGGGCCCCTGTGTCCTTGCCCAAACAAAAAAAAAGCCTATGAAAAAGGTACCAGGGGCATCTCATGGGGCCCCGTACTGACCCTTGGGCCCTCGGGCAGTGCCTGAGTTTCCAAATGGTCAGTCCGCCCCTGCTGACAGTTACTGCTCTGCTCAGGGCCAGCACCAGCATTAGGCAGACGTTTTTCAGTCTCACATTCCCCACTGGTGACCTCAGTCGGCCCTTCTCTCCTGCCCCATAAAATGCTGCTTAGTCCAGTGCTCCCCCCCAGCCAGAGTCCTGGGACCACCCGAGTCACCTCCATTCCTAGAGGACACCGCAGATCTCCCTCCGAGAGCTCATGGAGTGGAGATGCAGCCTTCCATGGTGATGGTCCTGTCTGTGCTGCTACTGGAGGGAGCCTAAGTGATCATGGGCAAGTGTTTGGAGGGCAGCCGGTTGAGGCTCTGTATGTTTCCTAACCAACTACAACAGACAGGAGGACATGGGTGACACAGCCAGACCATGCTGGCCAAGATCTACTACCTGCACTACATCAACCTGACCCTGCACCTCGGTCACAGTGAGTGAGACAACCCCATCTCCCACATATACCATCCCATACCCCACCCCATCTCCCCTAGGGACAGGAACCCCATATTCCTGGAGACAGGAGCCCCCCTGGGGACAGGGATCCATCTCCTCTGGGGACAGGGACCCCATCTACCCTAGGGACAGGGACCCCATCTACCCTAGGGACACGGACCCCATCTTGCTTAGGTACAGGGACCCAGTCTACCCTGATATCCAACCGCGATGGTGTCACCCGCATCCATGGCAGTGCCCGGGTTGGCGTGCCAGCATCGACCGCATAATTTTCAAGGACTAGTTTGGGGTGTACACTGTGACTAGCCTCCCAGTGCCCAGCACTGTGGCAGGCTAGACAGGAAAGAAGCCAATGATCTAGCATGCCCAGTGTCTACTGCTGTGTTCTGCTGTTACTCTACAGTGACAGGACACAGCACTGTGGCAGGCTTGTGGGGAAGACACCAGGTGACACCAACCCTAGTGACACCACTGAATGAATGGAAAGTGTTTTCTGATTGCACAAGGTGGAGAACATAACATCACTGCCCCAACTCTCGACTTCATCCATTCAGAGAACACTTTGAATTCATTGAGAAAATGCTAAGTGATCTCTGAATGGTGCCCATCCCAAGTGGCTGACCTCCTATGCTCAGAATGCAGCAGAGCAGCTCCTCAGAAGCTAGTGGAGATCACTGGAGTAGATGTGTCTACTACAGTGATTTTATGCTTCTAGAGCAGGGGTCTCCAAGCTATGGCCCTCCAGCTGTTGAAATACTACAAGTCCCATCATGCCTCTGCCTCTGGGAGTCTTGCCTGTGGCTATCAGAGTCTTGCAAGGCCTCATGGGACTTGCAGTTCCTCACAACCTGGAGGCCCATAGTCTGGAAACCCCTGTGAGGAATCCACAGGTATGATATGGACCAAGTTGGACCAATGTAACGATGTAAAAATATCCCTACCTGGAATTCTTCTTTAAATCTCACCTCCGAGTGATATAGATGTTTAGAAATAAATATCCCCAGCCAGTGTTAAAAAAAAAAACTAGCTGCAAAATACTTACCTTCAGTCTGCAGCTGTCCCCTACAGGACCTCTTCTTCATTTCCACAATGACACTCAACAGTTTTTGATTGGCTTTTGTCATTATAAGCGATTAATTTGATACATGCAAAGGTTCTGTTGACAACAAATTGCACAACTGTGCTCAGCATCTAATGGTCCATTGGATAAAAAATCAGCGCGTGTATGGCTAGCATCAGTCCCTCCATCTCCATTCTTTTCAAAAAAATCTCTTTAACTGTCACAGCATTCACACAGATGTAAAATAATCTCTGTAACATCAAATCTGTGTATTTCCTATGATCGTCTGCTCCATCTAAAGGTCATAATGCTGTATTTTCCTGACTGAGATATTTCAGGAACAAAACACATTATGGTCACTAGATGGAGCTGACAGTCATAAGAAATAAACATGTTAGAAACAGTACGGAGTTATTTACAACAGTTGTGCGAGTGCTATGGCATCGGTACAGCAAATGTTTAAGGGCTAGACCTGTGTATATCTCGCCATGACTATTATAACTCCCTCCTCATTGGCCTACCTCATCGCAGGCTATCCCCTCTTCAGCCTATCATGAATGATGCTGCCAGACTCATCCACCTTATTAACTGTTCCATATCTGCCACCCCTCTCTGCCAATCCCTCCACTGGCCTCCACTCAGTGTCCTCCACCCCTCTCTGCCAATCCCTCCACTGGCCTCCACTAAGTGTCCTCCTCCCCTCTCTGCCAATCCCTCCACTGGCCTCCACTCAGTGTCCTCCACCCCTCTCTGCCAATCCCTCCACTGGCCTCCACTCAGTGTCCTCCACTCCTCTCTGCCTATCCCTGCACTGGCTTCCCATTGCCCAACGGATAAAATTCAAAACATTAACAATAACATATAAAGCCATTTATAACTCTGCCCCAAATTACATCACCAATCTTGTCTCCAAATATCTCCCAAATCGTCCTCTCCGCTCCTCGCACCACCTATCACTCTCTAGCTCCCTTGTCTCCTCCTCCCATGCTCGTCTCCAGGACTTTTCCAGAGCCTCCCCCATCCTCTGGAACGCTCTACCTCAATCTATCCGACTATCGCCTACTCTGCCCACTTTTAGGCGATCTCTGAAAACCTATCTCTTCAGGGAAGTCTATCCGCCTTCAGCTAATAACGGAATCTTCTATTTCTCCTATCAGTTCGTCCCCTGCAGTTATTACCTTTGTACCACCAGCCCCTCCCTCTTAGATTGTAAGCTCCAAGGATCAGGCCCTCCTAACCCTCTTGTATTGAACTGTATTGTTGCTGTATTGTCTCCCTTTATATTGTTACGTGCTGAGCAAACTGTTGGCGCTATATAAATCCTGTATAATAATAATAATAATCAGTGTGGCTCCAGTGTCCACTCACATGCCTACATCCCATACCCCAATTTTGCCTCTCTCTAAACGAAATTTATCAATGTGAAAAATGGAAACATTTGTATTTATTGTCTTAGTCCTGTTCAAGGTTTGACTTTCAGATAGTAAAAACGTGCATTGGAAATTTGGTGAGGGGGCTTGCATCAGCAGATGGTGGTGGGGGATTGCAGTAACAGTACCTACCTAGTACCTACCTAGTAACAAGCATTCATGGATTCACTATAAGTTTGCCTCTCCATCCTGCTGCCCTCTCCAGCTGGTGGCGCTCTAATTTGTCTATGCTATGGAAAGCCCTAGACCAGTCTTTCTCAACCTTTTCGAGACAGAGGAATCCCTAAGATAAATTTCCGGTCTCAGGGAAACTCTGCTAAAAATGATTATATCTACAACTCATGATACATTACAGTAGTGTGATGATCAGTGGGAAGAATACTCCTTATACTTGTGGTCACTGGGAAGAATTACCCCCTCAAAGATTGCTAAAAAAATCAATGCTGTCAGTGGGAACTTATCTGAGAGGCAGAAATTGCTCATTGATCAAGGAACCCCGAGCAACCTCTGGAGGTACCCTGGTTGAGAAACCCTGCTCTAGACACAAGATGAACATAAAAGCTACTTACCTGTCTTCAGTGGAGAGGAGGAGCGAGACACCCTTTCCTGCCAGCTGTACTTCTTCCCCAGAGAGTTGTTATTCAAAGTGTCCTGTAAGATCAGATGGGATGATGTCACTACTCAGCTAATGCAAGGACCACAAGTCAATCTAGCGGTCAAATATCAGTAATCAATATTTCAGATCAGATCAGATCAGATTGCTGAACTCCGACCTTCTGGTAAGGTTTAAGTCTGAAAGAACGAACTGACGTCATAAATATTTATTACGGACTTTTTTTTACAGTGCCGACAATGTATTTAGTGTTTTACATACTGTAGCAGCAATTTTGGAACACCAGGAAACTCCGGACACAGACCTTAAGGAAAACAAGTGATTTATTAAAAACAGCGCTGTTTGACCCAGCCAGGCTCATGCCTGCAAAGCCGAGTGAGTTGTATCCACTTCTTACAAGCGTATATACCAATGATTACGTCACAATGCATATTTTTCCTCTTTCACTTTCTGTACATTCAAAAGGCTTTCTAAACTCTGCAGAATATAGCCTTGAATTCCAGCTACAGATAAGGGTGCTAGCTACAAGCTGGTACACATTACTTTACAGGAAATAAGGGAGGGGGAAAGTGAGCTGAAAACCTTGCTTTGCAAGCAGATACTGTTAGATATGTTACAATTTAAAGGGGAACTCAGAAATAACACAACATTTATTTTTTTTTAATAATTAATATTATATTTTTCTGCCCAGGGGTTAAAAGCACTTTATCTGCTGTTGGGGCCGCCATCTTGGGTGCGCTCTATAGAATATCATACTAGGGCCAATTTTAGACAGGAGACAATTAACCTGCCAGCATATCCTCGAGGAAACCCATGCAAGTACAGGGAGAGCATGCAAACTCCATGCAGATACTGTCCTGGCCTGTCCTCGAGCCTAGGACCTCAGTGCTGCTACTGCTGTACTGTACATTCATGTCATTCCCTGCCCTGAAGGAGCTTACAATCTAAGGTCCCTGTCTCACATGCACACATTAGGGCCAGTCTAGACAGTAACCAGTGAACCTACCAGTATGTCTTTGAAGGGTGGGAGGAAAAAGGAGTACCTGGAGGAAACGCACACAAGCTCAGGAGGAACTTGCAAACTCCATGCAAATAGCGGCCTAGATTCAAATTAAGGACTCTAGTGCTGCAAGACAGAAGTGTTGACCACTAAGCCACCATGTTACCCAGCAACAGCAGAATTATTAAAAATAAATAAAACGGTGCCTTTTCTTTTACCATTAAAAATCTGTCCCACAGTCCAGTGACTTTGGAGTCATCAGTCTGCTGCAGGCAAGAAGAAGCATTTCCTCAGTCTCCTCTTCTTCAGTGTTAAGACTGTAATATTGTAACTTTGTAGGAACTCAAAAAAGATGACTTTTGTGATTGTGTCATCTCTGAGTCAGCATTACTGTAGAGTAGGGTGTCTCCAAACTACAGCGCCCACTACAGGATTTTATTCCGCCCACAGCTAGGGTCAGTTGAGCATCTATAATGGGCAGCAGACTAAGGATACAAGTCGGCAGATGCTGCCTATGGTCTCTGCTTCAACCCCCACCAGGGGCGGACTGACAACTCATGGGGTCCCCGGGCAATAGGGGATCATGGGGCCCCTGTGTCCTTGCCCACGCTAAAAGCACACCCAAAAAGCCTATAAAAAAGGTACCAGGGGCATTTCATGGGGCCCCCTACTGACCCCGGGCCCTCGGGCAGTGCCCGAGTGCTCGAATGGTCAGCCCGTCCCTGACCCCCACCCAGACTCTGCAAGGGGAGACTCTGATGGGGACCTGGATGAAAGTGGAAACTCAGATGAGGACCCTGATGTGAGGGGGGCTCTGATGGGGACTCTGATATACAGTATAAGGAGTGATTCAGATTTCAGGAGAAACTCGGATGAGGACCCTGATGTGAATGGGGGCACTGATGGGGACTCTGATATCAGGGGTGATTCAGATTTCAGGGGAAACTCGGATGGGGACCCTGATGTGAGGGGGGGTGTGATGGGGACTCTGATATAAGGGGTGATTCAGATGTCAGGGGAAACTCAGATGAGGACCCTGATGTGTGGGGGGCTCAGATGGGAACTGTGATATAAGGGGTGATTCAGATGTCAGGGGAAACTCGGATGAGAACCCTGATGTGAGGGGGCGCTGAGAGGGACTTTGATATCAGGGTTGATTCAGATTTCAGGGGAAACGTGGATGGGGACCCTGATGTGGGGGGGGGGGGGGGGCTCAGATGTGGACTCTGATATAAGGGGTGATTCAGATGTAAGGGGAAAACTTGGATGGGGATCCTGATGTGAGGGGAGGCTCATATAGGGTGATTCAGATGTAGGGGAAGCTTGGATGGGGACACGGATGTGGGGGGGGGGGTCTCAGATGGGGACTCTGATAAAGGGGTGATTCAGATGTAAGGGGAAGCTCAGATGGGGACCCTGACATAAAGGGGGACTCTAATGGAGTCATTTATGTGAGTGGGGACTCTGATGTAAGGGGGGACTCCATTGTGAATCATGATGTAAGGGGGGGGGGGGGGGGGGGATTCTAATCCCTAATAGGGACATTAATGCAAGGGGACTGTAACGGGTATCCTAATGTGAGGAGGGACTTTCATAGGGGACTCTAATCTCTATGATGTAAGCAGGGACGGACTGACAACTCATGGGGCCCCCGGGCAATAGGGGATCATGGGGCCCCTGTGTCCTTGCCCAAACTCAAAAAAGCCTATGAAAAAGGTACCAGGGGCATCTCACGGGGCCCCCTACTGACCCTGGGCCCTCGGGCAGTGCCCGAGTTTCCAAATGGTCAGTCCACCCCTGGATGTAAGTGTAAGGAGGACTCTGATGAGGATATTTCAGCCCATGACTATTTGTAAAGTATATAAAGTGGTCCTCCGGATGATGCCTGAACAAAGAAGATGGAGGTATTGTCAGGGGGAGGGGGAGTGCTGTGAACTCCAAGAGAGGCTATATATATATATACACTCACACACAATATATAGTTGTGGCCAAATTATTCAACCCCACTGAAATTGATTGTTTTGGCCATTGGTTGCTTTTGAGTATTCTGCTCAATGCTTGCTTACAGTGGGGCAAAAAAGTATTTAGTCACCACAAATTGTAACAAGTTCTCCCACTTAAAAAGAAATGACCAGAGGCCTGTAACGTTCTGTGCTCACAGCATTATAGTTTTACCTCAACCCCATGAGTGACAAAATCTTAGAACTTAAATCCAGACAATCACATTTTATCAGTTATAAAGCTTTTAAACGTGAAGCATAGTATTTGGTCACCTACAAACAAGCAAGATTTACGGGTATCTTCGACCATTCTTCATGGGCAAAGGCCCTCCAGTTCAGTCACACATTAGGCTTATCAATGGCACATTTTCTTTAAGTCCCACTGAGTTATCAATCGGATTTAAGTCTGGTGACTGTCGATGGCACCTCAAAAGTTCCAGCACTTTCCTCTGCAACCATGCTCTAGTGGACTTGGAGGTATGCTGTGAAGGATCACCAGTCCTGTTGAAAGGTAACCTCCACCAGGCTCAGGGAAGTGAATTTGCAATAGGCACTGCATCACGGTTCCACAAATCAACTCCTGGGAGCAATAATTAGAAAATTCATGGAAGACATACAAGACCACTGATAACGTCCCTCGATCTGGGGCTCCATGCAAGATCTCACCCCGTGGGGTCAAAATCAGATCCTGGTACTGAAGAGAATTATCACAAGAACGGTGAGAAAAAAAAGCCCAGGACCACACGGGGGTTCTTCCTAGTCCAATGACATGCAGAGAGCTGGGACCAAACGTTCAAATTTTTACCATCAGTAACAGAACACTACCCGCCAGGGACTCAGATCCTGCAGTTTGACGTGTCCCCCTGGCTTTTGCAGTACAGCAGTCCGGGCCCGTCTGAAGTTTGCTAGAGAGCATTTGGATGATCCAGAAGGGAGTTCTGGCACGAATGCCTTCATATGCAGATGTGAAACCAAAATAGAATGTTTGGGCTAGAAACTTCTGTACCCACATGTTTGAAGGACAGAATCTGAGTTGCATCCAAAGACACACCATACCTACTGTGAAGCTTCATGTAGCGCACAGGTGGCAACATCATGCTTTGGGGCTGCCACGCAAAGGGACCAGAACGACTGATCCATGTACAGGACAGAATGAATGGGGCCTATGTATCATGAGATTTTGAGTGCAAACCTCCTTCCATCAGCAAGGGCATTGAAGATGAAAAGTGATGATGCCTTTGCCTAATGGCTGGGTCTTCCAACATGACAATGATCCCAAACATACCGCCCCTGGGCAATGAAGCAGTGGTTTGTAACCAAGCATTTCAAGGTCCTGGAGTGGCTTAGCCTGTCTCCAGATTTTAAAGCCATGAAAACCTTTGGGGGCTTATTATGCTTGAAGTCCGTGTTGCTCAGTGACAGCCCCAAAACAGGTGTTTCACTACTCTAGATGGAAAGATCTGCATGAGGAATGTTCTTCAAGTGGTAGTCTTTAAGGGGTTGAACAATTGTGTGCCAATTGTGAAGACTTACAGAAATTTACTGACCTGTCATTGCAACAAAGGATATATCAAAGTTTGAGATGAACTTTTGGGTATTGACAACGTACTTATTTGATCCACCATAATTTCAAATAAATTCTATAGTCCAAACAGCCCTTGTGATTGTCTGGGTTTTTTTTTCTATTTTGTCTTTCATAGTTGAGGTCTACCCATGATGGGAAATTACAGGCCTCTCTCATCTTTTTAAGTGGGAGAACTTGTACAATTGGTGGCTGACTAAATACTTTTTTGCCCCATGTATGAATGTTATATAAAAGCCAATGACATCTTATTGACAATAAAAATAAAGAATATATAGATAATAAATAATATAGTTATTATAATAACAACAATAATAATAAAAAAATAAAATATAGAAATGAAATAAAGAAAAACAAATATACAGAAGCAGCATCAGACCTGTTGTATAAAGAATACACAAGCATGAGGTTCAGTGATCTGCCCATCCAATCTTCCCAGATACTAGAATGGTAGCT